TTTTTGTACTACTGGCAATTACCATGATGACCAGTACATATGAATCTTTCTTTGGCTGACTTATATGTCTCAGAAAGAAACACTAAGAACAGGAGATGAAGACAGCAAAGAATGAGGACAGTATAGCTTACTGTAGCAACCAAGACAGACCTGCTGTGCAGAGACCACATGTTTTCGGGCAGTCCTCTTCGAGGATACTTCTCCAGGCTATACTTTCGCACATGTCCTGCGTCACCGAAGAGCATGGGATTCGTGGTTCTAAGATGAAACAAGGAATTTTGGCAGTATCAAGGGAGTGAAATAAACAAGAATTGCATCAATTTAGTGAAGAAAAAAAATTAGAATTCCTATAACGTACGCCGTTTGTCTTCACACATGAAGGCGGGTGTAAGGCAGCAGTATCCACATGTCTTGGGACAAATATCTATAGCTCCTTGAACTAGTGCAGGATTCTGAAAGCAATGAGATCCAACTTGTTCGATAGAATTTACTTCTTTCAGGTGTTTTGAAAGCAATAAATTGGATTGCTGAAGTTCCAATGTTTTAACAGTAACACCATCTATCTGGCTTACACTCAATTCAAAGGTTTCACCAAACTATTGTCATGTTCACGTCACTTCAGGAGTGAATGAAATTTGAATGAAATCCTGTACTAGACAGTAGTAAATATACAGTAAGAAAGAAAGCATTTCAGTCATTGCTCATGTCAAACACGACATATTTACTTGGTTTTTTCGCTATGTTTTTATATTAAATTAATATAGAATAGAAACTCGAAGCAATGCTTGTATAGACAAATAAAGACATTTAGGGCCGATCATTTGACACCTTACTCGCCTGGGGGGATGAAACCACTAGCGCTCAGCTTCCTTAAATCATTGTACACATCATTTACTCATCCAATTCATTCACCTCAGCCGGGATATGGGTACATTCACCCAGAACTGGATGGACGAGTCAAATCGTGCGGCGATATTCGTGGCGACTTAAACGACTTTAGCGCCTACCATTGGAGCCAAAACTTGAAGTAGAGTAGATTGGTAGGGTCAGCTGACCATACTAATGTACTCCTTTTCAAGTTTGCCCACCAATGATAGGTGCCAAATCGTCCTAAACGCCACGAGTCTCCCCGCGCCATTTGCCGCGTCCATTCAGTTCTGGGTGAATGTTCCGCTCCCACCTCCCCCTCCTCAGCCATCAGCCGCTGCTCAATTTTCTGTCATTCTTGTTCCACCTGGAGGGGAGGGGGAGGGATAGATGATATTTGTGATTCCTTTTTGTCCCTTCCAACTTGATTAGGGTTATCGAGGCATAAACTTTGCAACGGCCCACCCAGTTGTGCAGCATCCTAGACGTGTGCTTATGGTGATTATCACGTTAGAAGATAAAGTTCTCATCTTGCACGAGCAAAGAGCAACATGCACTATTCTGAGATGTTTACGCACAAGAATTTTGATTGAATAAAGCCCCTTTTAAAGCATATTCAAAAAAATTGATTTAAATAATGGGAAGAAATATGAAGTTTCTCATAACACATTTTCTAACGTACTACAGGATTCCCGGCACATTTTGCATCTCGATCGGTATCATCATCCACTTTCACTGCTGCTGTATAAATGACTAGACAGGCGGCATCAGAAATTCTGTTATTGCAGTTCACCGCCGATTGAGCGTACTGAAAGACCGTCGATTGTAACGCAACAACAGTTACCTGCTCCTCACATTCAAAACATACTATCTATTCACAATTTAGAGTAAAATCGATATTTATTCAAAAAGTTTTCCTTCAAACGGATCTCCTATGGGTTTGCAACAGGTGGCCTGCAACGGTTCCAGATTTCTTGCGCAGACTGTTTTCTGTGACAAGCCAGAGAAGTCCATCTCGCGACCGATACTCAATTGAGAATTGAGGATTAGTTGGGGTCGCACAAATAGGGTATGTACTATTTTGTGGGGCTACACAGCAAAGAAGAGGAGTCAAACTCTTAACTGGAAGTAGCAGCCACGTCGCTCATTTGGGAAGCGGGACTCTTTCCAATACTTGGGTATTTTGTCCATAGGTTCATTTCTGCACACGACCGTATCCGCCTCAAATCAACGAATCGAGGCTTTTTATTGTGGATTCTCCTGACCTTTACTACAATATTGGAGTATTGAGGTTGAAGCGACGGGTGATTTCGGTATTTACGCCATGAAGATGAGTCTGTGTATAGCTTGTTGAAATTACTTACTTTTGGAGAACCGCCAACCATGTGTGTACAGTTCAAATCCGTGATTCCTGCCTGTGAAAGGCCTGCCAGGAGAGACGAAGCTATTAGAATAAGAAGCATGACTTCGCTGAAATATTTGGAATTGAGGGTACGTATATGCCAAAAGAAGGGAATTCAGAGTGACAAAGACCCAAAATGGGACTTTGATGAGCACTGACGCTTTTATTCCAACGAGATCGAAAAAATACGAGGTTAGCACGGTGCGCAAAAAAGCTCAACTCAAAAAATAGCGCTTCACTTCCATCTGTCTCTTTTATTCCAGTGATTTCGAAAAAGCACGAAATTAGCACAAAGCAGTGCGGTTGATCTAGTCATTTTTCGCATCATCATAGCATAAAAACGTACACATTCGATGAAAAAATTCTTTGTGATACTGCTTGCA